GGGATGGTTTCAGAGGTCCCTGCCGACGCTGACGCCCGGAGCACCGTACTAGACAGATGCCCTGTGTATCCAAATTCCCAGGAGGGGCGGGCGAGCCCTGGCTTTCAGGTGCAACTGGAAAGGTGGCTCTTCCTTCAGACTTTTTCTTGTCCAACACAAACTCCAGCAGTGGCAAGAATGCCCCTCTTGATCAGAGTTGAGCCTGACAGGGAATCTGTTCTGAACAGGGCTTGGTGAGGGTAAGGAGATCAGCTTACTCCCCATGCTGGAAACACCAAAGGCTTCTGGAGCCGCACCTTTAGCCAACAGTGCCAGAGGCTGTAACAGACTCAACGCCCAGCACACACAGCCCGGCTCCCCAGTGGCTTCTTCAGAATAGGTGTTGTGTGGTGGCCTTGAGAAAATATCGATTTCTTACCACATGAAAATTTCCATCTGGAGGTAATGGAGTTTATGTGCAATCTGTGACACTGGGGACGGGACAGACGGTGTGGACTTTGTTTTTAGCCAAGCAAAACGACTTTCAGAGGTGGCCACTGCCCCTCTACTCCCAACCTGACCTCCTGCTGCAGGGCGAAGTTCTTGACATGGGGCGCTGGATATGTTTGGGGCGTCAGTCCTAAATCCTCCGACACTGTGTGCAAATGAGGGCATGTATCTGGATGTCTGCATTTTTCCACAGAGAGACCACAGCTTTCTCCAGATTCACCAAGGGGCCTGAGACCCAGAAAAGATGAAGTATCACAGCTGTGGAGGTTAAAGATGAGTGTGAAAGAGCACTCCATGTCCCTAGAGAACAGAGCTCCTGGCAGAAGAACTAAGGATCACCTGGCTCAAGCTTTGAGGGGACCCCTGCACCTCAACAGCACTGCCGCATTCCAAAGCACAGAAATCCCCGCTGCAAGGAGAAGACCGAGGAACACAGCGACAAAGGACTCGTCCCAAATCTAGACTGGCCCCAGCACAGAGATGGGACTCACACGAGGGTCTACCCAACTCAGTCCACGGTTCTTCCCACCTCAACAGAGTGCTGGGAAGACCTGAGCTGAACAGTGTTGACCTGGTGACAGGTGGTTCCAACTGTGGCCTCACTGAATACTCCCCCACCCTATGGGGCAGAACTACTGTCCTCACTTTGCAAATGAGGACCTGAGGCTTGGAACTGAGGCACCTGGTTCCAGGTCACATGGCCAGTGAGAGGCCCCAGGGCATCAGGACTCTTAGGGTCCCACTGGGATGCCCTTTCCTTACTTTCCCCTGTAGACTCTGAGAAGGTATGGTGTCAGTTTGACCAGGTAGCAGTCAGCCCTGGCATTTGCCCTTCCCCATCACCATGAGGGGATGGAGGAAGAGGAGGTGCTATGCCAACTTTCACCTAGTCCCCTTCACAGAGCAGGTCTGTGAAGTCCGCGGGGCTTGGAGAATTTCCCAGGACCTGGCTCCTTGGGATGAGCTGCAGAGCCTGGCACAGGAGGAGCTGCAGGCCCGGGCCAGCCACCAGCTATGCTGCCTGGGGCAAGCCCCTCACCCTGCTCTGGCGGAGCCTGCTCTGTGCCAGGCCTAGGAGATATGGAGACGGGCAACACCAGCTCAGGAGGGGAAGTGCTACGAGACATTTGCGGCTCTTCTTACTATGAATGATTTGCCACCTCCATGCATAGGAATCGGTCTGGCCTAATGGAAAGAAAGAGGAGGGACTGGCTGAGCATCTCCTCTGCCCCCGAGACTGTGCTAAGTACAATACAGTTTAGGTAGCGTTATCATCCTTATTTTACAGATGAGAAAACTGGGGTGCTTTTTATAAAGTTGCTGTTGAACCCGGCCCCACTAGTTAGTCTGAGTCCTTTGGAATTCATGTCTCCAGTTAGAGATGAGGAATCTAACGCTTAGGGTTTTAGTCTAATGCAGGTCACATAAGAGAGTGGAGATCTGAACTGTGCTCAATCAATAATTCCATGATCTCTGACCTAGGACACAGGGGACCTGGGTTCTAGTTCTGTCCTTTTGACCGACCACAGCACACAACCCATCCAAACCTACTTCTGCAATTTCCTCACCTGCCAATAGGGTTCGCTACCTGCCCTGTGGCTGTTCAGGTCACAGGCTGCTGAGGAGGAGAGAGGCCAGTGCAGAGTTCTGCCTTTTCCTAGACCTGTGCAGAGCATCGCTTCCCCCCGCCCGCTGCGCCAAGAGTCTAACCCAAATATTCCACAGATGCCTTAACATGACCACAGCTGCCCCTGTCTCTCTCCAGGTTCCCCTCTGTGCTCGTTTTCTCTACGAGTGACACAAAACCCTCAACCAGAACCCCACAGACATCCACCACTCTGCCAGGCTGACCTCCTTACAATCTTTCAAAACCATCCCCTCCCCCACGGTCTGGACCCACTGCCCACCTGGGGGTCTGTTGCAGCCACCAAAGAGGTCTTCCCGGCCTCCTGGCCCCTCCAAGCTCAGCCATGGGATCTTGTAACACACACATGGACCCCGCCGGTCCCTGCTGCTCGTCCTGGAGTCCTGTCCACTAGGCTCCTTGCAACATGTTTCCTGCTTCTCCCTCTCACTCATCTCTCACAGGAAAATCCTTTGCACGTCCTAAGCATGTCCCTGAGTGCTCAGTTCTCTCTCACCCCTGGGAGCACAGCAGCAAGGCCACAGGGCCATCTGCCAGAATCCTATTCCTGCCCCTTCACTGTCTGACGAACTCCTAGTCATTCCTCAAGACCCAGTCAGTCTTGAACCACCTCTCAGGCCTCCCAGGATGCACTCAGTACATTGTCCTGCAGCTAAGCTGTGTGTCTCCCTCATTAAGCCTGGAACCCTCACTGGCAAAGACTGTCTCATTCATCTCTGTCCCCAGGGCCTGGCGTAAGGGGCAAAGAACAGGAACTCAGTGCCTGCTCAGTGGCTGAGCCCCTCTCTTTTGCAGTTCAAACGCTGCCAGTCTCACAGAGTCTATTTTCAGAAGGTTCCCAGGGGTGGCGAAGGAGAACTCCTACTTGGCAATAATCTCTGTGCTGTGCTTCTCAGAAATGCCCCAGAAACGTTGGACTTGATAGAAGAGCCGCACAAGGCAGGCTGGCACATCCAGAGAGAAAGTGCTGCAGTCAGCAGTTCTCCTAAGACAGGGAAATTGACACACAGACAGCACAGGCTGCGCCAGGGCCATGTTGCCAACAGGCACTAATGAAAACTCAGCTACCGCCTGCTCCTCTAAATGCAGCAGGAGGGAGTGCTGAGGGTTTAAACCGGGAAACAGAGCTGCTCCCACACAATCTCCAAAGTGGCTAGATCAGAACTGGGACTGACCTTAAAAAAGTTACTTCACCTCGCCAACCCTGAGTCTTGGCATCTGCCTTGAGAAGAATTTCTCAAATCCATGCCCTCCTCTGGATCCCCAGCATCGTAGCCACCTTTCCTGTCTGACTAGTGAGTCGGCCTCTGCCTCACTGGTGGAGCAGCCACCAGTGAGCCATTCTTGCACACAGATTTGACAGGCCAATCCTCTGCCCTGAGCCTGCCACCTTCAGTCTTTCATGAAGTACTCCCTGACTCCCAATCCCTCCTGCCTCAATTCACTGTTTGTAGCCTTTACCCCACAGGGACTGGTTTTGGTTTCTCACATACGAAACCTTATTTTCTGCCTTTGTGCCTCTGTCCATGCTCTTCCCTGTGGGACTGCCACCCCCCGCTCCATGTGACAACACCTACTCTCATTTCACACTCAGCGCAGGGGTTCCTTTGTCTAAGATGCCCACCTCCCCAGGACGGAGTGACGCCCACCCAACTCCCACCCCAGTGCTCTGCATGTTCCCATCACTGACATGCCACACGACTGTCTCCCAGTGAGATGACAGTCCCTGACACCAAGGGGCTGCTCTACAAAGGTGTGTTAAGTGAATACATTTGTCTATGTGAGTCAGAAAGGATGGAGGATGAAAAGAAGCCCACAGATGGGAGGCATGATTACAATCTGGGCTCCAAAGTGGGTAATCCAGCGCAGCACTGGGAGCCCTTGGAGGCAGGAAGTGGTCAGGCACAGCGGCCAGCCGCACACTCACTCACACTGATCAAAGATGACTTTTTCCTGGCGCTTGCTCAGCTGCAAAAGCTTCATGGTGTTTTGCAACTTCTTTTCTTGTTCAAACAATTTTTTATGTAGTTTGGTGACCTCTGCCTTCATTTCTCCAATCTAAAGAGAAGAGAAATTAGAAAAATGAACAAAGAACATAAAACGTCATGTTACATAGGAAAAATTACAAAGCCATATAAAAGGATGCTCAACCTCACTAGCAAAAATATTTGAATGGAAACTAGAAGCCTTTTCCTGACAACCAGGAAAAGGCAAAATCGGACAAAACCCACTGAGGGTAAAGGGAAAGCACCTCGTGGCCTCTGGTGGAAGTGCGGATGGCATGGCCCAGCAAGAACGCCCTGGCAAGATCTGCCAAACTGAGATGCGCTTAACTCTTTGCCCCAGCAATTCTACACATTGGCATTTCCCCCAAGGAATAACATAAGCACAAGAAGATGCCTATGTACAAGGATGTTCGTCTCAGCATTGTTCATGGTAGGAAAAAATAACTTCATTTCAGTACAGATCTGGATAAATTATGGTACTTACATATAATACAATAGTTTTACAACTATTAAAAACAATGTTGTAGAGCTCCATATATTGATATCAAAAAATGATCACAGTTAGTGACAAAAGAGCCCAGAACAAAACGCCCTGTATACAAGGCATTCCTGTTCCACAAAACTGAACATAAACGCCCACATTCATAGATGTGTATATTGAGATGTCATCAAAATGTTAACAGCAATTCTCTCCATGAGATATGATTTCAAATTGAGTGTTTTTTTTTTCAAAAACTATATATAATGCTGATTTAAAAATTTTTTTAATGTTTAAATCTTCAAAATATCATATAAAAGTATTATGAGGAAAGTATGCTCCATTAGAAGAAACTCTTCTGGTTTTTCAGAGTAAACTCTGGATGGGTGGCAAAACCAGAGTCCCCAGTGCTCCGAGGTGAAATATACGCACGGTGGAGCCCTCTCAGCCGGTCTCCACCAAACCAGCTCACAGGAGGAAGGACACTCCCTTTCTGTCAGGAAAGCACCCTGGCACAGGCCGCTCTCTGCTACGTCGAAACACTTCTGCTTCCAACAGGAGAGATGGTGAGTTGTCAGCTCATGAAGAGTCACTTTAGTTTGTTCCCAAACTTGTTTATGGTAGCTGTACTTGTAATCAAATTGCATAATTTAATTAAATATTAAGTAAGCCCATGAAATGTGTGTATTAAAAGAGCGAACTGGTTGTATGAAAACTAACATATGCTTCAGGAAAGACTTGATAAAAGCAAGTCACTAAAAAACACATTTCTGGCAAATTAGGTGTGGGTGAGACAACTATAAAAGATGTGGGAGGAACACAGTCTAGAAGAATTCTATATTCAAATTGCTTTGTAAGTGTCTAAGTTTTCTCTTCATCTTAAAGAAACAGAAATTGGAAGTGACAGACATACATTATGGATGCAGTTTATGAAAGAAAGAAGATGTGAAACTCCAATCAGCAGACCCATATTCAAAAGAAAAGGCCCTGGCCCTACATCAAAAGAATGGCAAATGAATGTACATTTATCTGTTTTAAGTTAAACTAAAATGTTTAAGGTACGTATCATTTTTTGATTCCCTGACTTAACCTACTTTTAAGATTAACCAGTCATGTCAGGTACAAGGACTTCGACAGTTCTTCCCAAACGGATCCTAATTTTAAACATTAGGTTTGCTTTGATTCTTTTCCTTGGGGCTAAGAGCCCACAAAGACTTTCTGGTTATGGCTCCAGAGGCCACACATTCCAGGACAAAGTCTCTCTACAGTCAACGCCTTAGTCCCACATCTGTAAAACTGGAATAATCATCCCTGATCCAGCTATCACATTGCAGTAGAGTGACACTCAAATGAGATAATGGAAGACAGCGGGAATGATCATTTCAAATTTGGCCTGGTTGACCCATTCCTCGTTCTAAAGTCAGCTCAGGTTTCGCCTCTTCCAGGAGGTTGGCCTGGCACTTCTTTTAGGCTGGCTACTGCTCCTCTGGGTGCGCCGGGGCTCAGTGTCTCCCCATCACCGCCCAAGGCACACTGGAGTGACTGGTCCTTTACTTGTTTGCTTCCTGTACTGACTACATGCTCATTTCCTCCCCTAACCACCAGTGTCTGGTGCAGAGTAGGTGCTGTGACACCATTTACCCACTCATGGTGGGTTAATTTTCACTGGTGCTCTCCTAACACCCTGTATATATTCTGTCCAGTACTTAAAACAGGGAATTTTAATTGTTTACATGTCTGTTGTTCCCCTGGATTCAAATATTCATTTTTATAGGATGAATATTCCATGGTAGCAACAGCAGGGGCTCAAAGTACAACTCCACCACTCCCAACTATAAGATGCTGAAGCAAGTCACTTAACCTCTTGGGAGTTTCCATTCCTACCTCTGGAAAAGGGGAAGAATCACAGCTAACTCCCTCAAGCTTTCTGCAAGGAATCAGATGAGACGCTGGGTGTGAGCAGCATGCCTGGTGCTGCGGGAGGTCACCAGAGCACCCTTCCCGAGGGCCACAGAGCTGCAGTGCTGAAGCCACTCCCTCCCCGGAGGCCTCCGGCTTCCTCGTCAGTGTTCCGCTGGACTTCGGGGACAGAAATTTTTGCTTGTGTTCTTTTTATGGTGAAAAATTCTCAAACATTTACAAAAGCAGAAAGAAGTGAATAATGAATGCCCAAGTGTCCATCCAGCTTCAGCAATGATCAATTCATGGCCATACTTATCTCTACTACATTCCTGCCCATCCTCTCCCCAAGATGATTCTGGAACCAACCCTAGAAGCCAATCGTATCATCTATAAAGTATTTTACTATATCTCTCTAGAAGATTTGTTTTTTGTTTGTTTGTTTGTTTGTTTTAAACAGAGAGCATCTTACTATGTTGCTCAGGCTGCTCTAGAACTTCTGGCCTCAGGTGATCCTCCCACCTTGGCCTCTGAAAGTGCTGGGATTACAGGCATGAGCCACCACCCCGGCCACAAAAAGATTGTTAAAAAAAAAAAAAAAAACCCAACACGGTATCATTATGACACCTTTAAAAAAAGGCAGTAATTCCTTAGTATCACCACATCCAGTCAGTGAACACATTTCCCTGATTGCTTCATAATTTTCTTTTTCTAAACAATTGGTTCAATTCAGGATGCAAACAAGATCCATGTTTTGCATTTGATTATCTCTTGAGTTTCTTTAAATCCAGTGGTTCTCAAACCTATCTAGAGGGCTATAAAATCAGACTGCTGGGGTGCACTCTCAGAGTTACTGATTCAGTAGGTTTGGTGTGAGGCCTGAGAAGGTGAATTTTTGACAAGTTTCCAGGTGATGCAGATGCTGCAGGTCCAGGGCCCACACTTATGGGAACCACTGTGAATCCATGGGGTTCTCTCCCTCTTTCCCCATGCTGGATCCTTTCTTACTAGGATGAAATATGTTCTAGGCTCATACTATATATCTCCTGCCCCAGACCTAGCAGCAAGCCATTTCTCCAAGGAACCCTAGTTCCCTTTAGTGGGCAAAGGTATCTAGAAACCATAATTTGGGCATCAAGGGCGCTCACTGGTGGTAGAACAGACATTGTTTCTGGAGCCTTGTATGCTGAGAAAGTTCATAAAATTCTTTTAATGGATGATAATACATCACAAGTTCATAATGATATGTGCTATTCAAATTTAGGATTACAGGGTTATTTCTTTGATTTCATATCTCTTTTTCCTTACAGTAAAAAATCAGTTCCCAATAAAATTAACAGTTATTTGTTTTATCTTATAATAGAAATATAATAATTCAGAATATCAATATCAATATTATTACTAACAATATAACCATTAACAAGAGTTTAAATTTTCTTCTTGCCCTTAGAATATTTCTACTAGAAATCTGTGGTCAAAGTACTATGCGTTAGTCATTGAAATGCTTCCTTTTTGTGTTGTTATGCCTACGTTGCCATGTACAGTAAGGTTTGTTTCATCTTGCCAAGAATTTTTAGAAATTGTTTTCTCATTTTGACTTTTTTATAATTATGTAATGCATTTATATAGTTGCAAAGTCAAATCTACAAAACGGTCTATTCAGAGAAATCTACCTTCTATCTGTTACTCTAATCTCTCCCCTCCCACTACTATATGTAGCCTGGTTTGTTACTGTTTATCCTCCATTTAAAAAAATTATTATAAACAAGTATGTGTGTACATTTGTATCCCTCCACACAACTGATGCACATGATACACACTTTCCAGAGCAGTCCAGACTGCAGGGGATGGTATACTAAATGTAAAAGGCAATTAATAACACTCAAGAGAAAACCAGGTAGTTCAAAAGCCCCCGGGTTGCTGGTGAAAACTTGGAAATGGAAATCAGCATTACACACATTTCACACCAAGCAAAGGCATGGTATGAAACACAGCAGTGACAGAAAAGTGGCTAGAGGCAATTTAACACCACATAGGGGGTCTGTACCCCAGCAACCACACTGGAGCATCTCAAAGGTCCTTTTTCTGGTACCACAATTCCATAACATCAAAGTGAGCATAATCAATTACTCGAGAAACCTTTGGAAGGAAAGAGGTACTCAGGAGCACCAACCCCTCTTGGAACGATTTGCAAGTAGGGAAGAATCAATGTGGCTATAATTTGTGTATGTGTGTGTGTATATACAATATATTTTTTATATATGTGTATGAGCTGTATTCTGTCTATTTAACAGTTACTACAATGTGCTAAGGACAAAAACATTACATTAAGTGTCAACTGTTTAGTTCAGACATGTTTATGTTAAAATCATGAGGCAGGTACTACTTTGGGTGTATAGAAAAAAATCACTGGTTCATTCAAAAACTATAAATAAAATAGACACTGTCCTCTGAAGGAAAATAGAGGAAGACAGACATTAAACAAATATACAATTACAACTGGTTGAAAGGCTACGATGAAACAGAAGAGGACTCTATGTTGAAGGACTCAGGGAGCCCTCTCTGACTCTGAGGTAATATTTAAGCTAAGATTTGAAAGGTGAGAAGGAGCCAGCCAGAAGCAGGACATGGGACACTCCAGGCAGTCAGGCCATCTGTGTCACCTAAGCCTAAGACGGAACAGGACTTGGTGGATTAGAAGAAGGGAAAGACCAATGTGGGACTGGACCCCAGTGAGTCTCAGCCTTCCTCCCTCATACTCTGTCTCCCACCTGATACTGCCACCAGCTAAACATGGGCGAAAAAAAAGATTTTTCTGTGGAATGAACAGTTATTAACTTTCCTGAGCTTTGTGTATCCAAACTTTGTCCCCAGGATCCCAAGAGGAAAATCTTAGGACGGGCTCATTAGAACCTTCAGAGCAGAGAGAGCTGCCCCCCAGCTACTTCCTGGTCATGTTTGAGAGACCTGAGAGCTGTCAAAAGGGGTTTAACTAAATGAGATAACGACAAAAAAATGTAAATTTCCCTTTTGCCTTCCTGCTGGCCTTTGGCAAGAACGGACAGGTCAGATAAACAAAGGGGGGAAATATCTATCACGCTACCAAGCAGAGAGTTCTAACTCTTCCTTAACCTGCATGTCCCTTCTTCCAGGGAGGTTTCTCTGAGTAGCCAGAGTGGGCATTCACCTGTCATGACACCACATGTATCCCACACACAGAAATCAGAGGACAGCTGCTACTCTGCCTGACTCCTGGTTTGGAGCCTGTCATTCCTAAGTAGTTAAAACAGATTTTGAACAAGGTCCACTCAAATATGATGATGAAAGCTGTCGATAGGAATCAGAAGAGCCAGAGAAAGGCACCTAAACCAAAAGGGATGATGAATAGAAAAGAATGGGCTAGTCTATGAGGACAAACTGGGACTTAAAGCCTATAAAATAAAAGAATAAACACTGGGTTCCAATATTTATGCTTTCAAACAAGCTCTAACCTTGACTAAGTGCTTCAGCTCCCTGAGTCCTGGTTTCCTCATGTGTAGAATGCAGACAGGATTCTACTCAACAAAGATATGCTCAGACGGGTCAGGGCTACAGGAGTGTGGGATGGATCAAGTAAGAACACGGTGAAGCCACAGCAAACAGGGCCATCTCCTCCCTGATACATACCCCAAATGGTGGTCACATCTGCTGTGGGCCCCTGCTTGGCATGGAGGAAACTGAGACACAGGCCCCAGTGGCATCACTGAGCCTCTGAATCATGTGTCACCACCTACCTGCTCACAGTGAAGGGGGCACTGGCCATCTTCGGGGACTGAGACTCTCCAGAGAAGTTTCAGCCGCCTGGAGGCCTCTTCCAGGGTCAGCTTGGCTGTGCTCACACTGCTCACAAACTTGCTCAGTGGTGCTGGGTGTGGACCCTACACGGGGGGGATATGAAGGCTGTTATGTGCAGTCTTGAAAAAGATTTTGGACAAGCAAGCCTTAACGTGCAGCATAAATCTCCAGACTGTAGGGCTTCTGTTTCACATGCTGAGCGAAAGCCTGGTACCACATAGCACCAATTTATTGTTCTTAAAGACTGGTGAATTGTAGATTATGAGAGAATTTCAGGGGTGATTTTAGCCCAATCAATAACCATGATTAATAACCACCATGGTTAATAACCACCAGCATTAACTACAGTTACTACTCCAAGTACAGGGTCTGTGGGAGGGCCATTCTCACGGTTTGGCGGCCCACAGAGACCCGCCCAGAGAAAATGACACCAACAGCAAACAATACATGGTTTTGTCTTTACTGGTCCCTGTTAAATGGCCCTGCTGTAGTGAATATGATATCACGGCCTTATACCGCTGGCAGAGCAAACTCAAATTGGGAGGTATCAAGGGCTTAAGAAAATTATCTATGTGATTCAGAAAAGGGGAAATACAAAAAAAGAAGAAGAAATGAAAAAAGCATTTGTTTTTATAAGTAATAAAATAAATACAAAAATAGAATGAGGTCAGGCACAGTGGTTCATGCCTATAATCCTAACACTTTGGGAGGCCAACGTGGGAGGATTGCTTAAGCCCAGAAATCCAAGACCACCCTAGGCAACATAGTGAGACCCCCATCTCTACAAAAAATAAAAAATTAGCTAGGTGTGGCAGTCTACACCTGTAGTCCTGGCTACTCAGGAAGCTGGGATGGGAGGATTGCTTAAGCTTAGGAGATCAAGGCTGCAGTGTGCCACAATCATGCCACATCCCCCAGCCTGGACAACACAGCGAGACCCTGTCTCAAAAAAAAAAAAAAGAGAAAAAAGACACACCCTTTTTAGATAATAAAGTAAAAAAAAGTCATTATAAATAAAAATACCTGGGCTGGGCACGGTGGCTCACACCTTTATCCCAGCACTTTGGGAGGCCGAGGCAGTTGGATCACCTTAAGTCAGGAGTTCAAGACCAGCCTGGCCAGCATGGTGAAACCCGGTCTGTACTAAAAATACAACAATTAGCCGGGCATGGTGGCAGGTGCCTGTAATCTCAGCTACTAAAGAGGCTGAGGGAGGAGAATCACGTGAACCCAAGAGGAGGAGGCTGCAGTGAGCCAAGATCACACCACTGAACTCTAGCCTGAGCAACAGAATGAGACTCCATTTAAAAAAAAAAAAAAGAAATATATATATATATATATGCTGACATACTCAGGCATGATAGCTGACACCCGTAATCCCAACACTTTAGGAGGCCAAGGTGGGAGGATCGTTTGAGCCCAGGAGATCAAGGCCAACCTGGGCAACATAGTGAGACCCTGTCTCTAAAAAATAAAAATAAAAAAAATAGCCAGGTGTGATGGCACATGCCTGGTCACAGCTACTTGCGAGGCTGAGGGAGGAGTATTGCTTGAGCCTAGGAGGTGGGGTCGAGGCTACAGTGAGCCATGATCACACCACTGCACTCCAGCCTGGGTGACAGAGCTAGATCCTGTCTCAAAATAAAAAA